GCAATTAAATCCATATCCTACCTTGTAACCCGATAAAAGCAATCCATGCAATGAACGTCATCGGAGATGTTTAATCCACAAGTATTCTGAGCATTATTCCTGCTTGCTGGCGTTCACATCAATCCACAAGTCGTTCTTTTAGTTTAGGCTATTTAATACAAGTCAATATAAAAGCAATTATGCTATGTCTAGCATTCTTTTACGTTAATGCGAATAGCAAATAAATTGGTATCCACTCACATGTTTAACTTTAAGTCTGCTTGTTACGGTCAAAAAAAAAAATTTGAATACAGTCACATTACTATATGCAATAGCCTATATAAGATCGCCCATGATCAGTAGATTTTACACAGGTGTTAGGGGTAGACTGAGTACATTTGAGACATGTGTACAGCTAAAACACCTTAAATAACTGATTTTTGCTCCACACATGCGTATTAGTGTTCTCTTTGATTGTGGGAAATTTGAAATGTGTGCGTCTTTCCAATGTTTTTTTTTCCCAAGGTGAGATGTCCCTTCCACAATGAATAGCTTATTATTCTTTTATGATTGTTAAACTTAACATATATCATTGCAAACGTTACTCTGTGCTCTAAAAATAGATATTTTATGATATTTCATAATCTGGAGAAACGTGCGAGTGTGTCAGTGGGTTACGGCTGAGACACAGTGTATCAACTGTACAATTTAGTATATATTCATTATATATTATTATTATATTTTAAATAATTAAGTGTATTTTCTGTGTATAAGTATATTTAAAAGTGCATGAAAGATGGTTTCAATTGTACTACAAGTGGTAACTAAATATTTTTTTTTTTACTGAGAAAGTATGTTAAAAACACATTTTAGTTCATATTCATGGTGTCCCAAAATAGCACAGTTGAGTACACTTAGAGCAGGGGTGCCCAAACTCGGTCCTGGAGGGCCGTTGTTTATAAAATTATAAATCAGAGACTAACATATTTTATGGAAACTAAAGGGAATATTTGTAATTATCAAAGTGGATTTAGAAAAGGTAGATGTACTACGGACCCTACAGTATGTTTGGAACATGAAATACGAAGACCTTAGGCTAATAGAAAAAGTGTAGTGGCAGTATTTTTTGACATCGAGAAAACTTATGATATGATGTGGAAAGAAGGGTTAATAATTAAACTGAGAAAAGCAGGAGTTAAAGGAAAAATGATAAGATGGATTAAAGGTTTTCTATTTGGAAGATCTATTCAAGTAAAGATTGGGAAAGAATTTTCAGACATAATAAAGGTAGAAAATGGAACACCACACGGGAGTATAATGAGTCCTTTATTATTTTCTATTAATGAAAAAGGAATAGGAATTTCTCTTTATGCAGATGATGGTGCAATCTGGAAACGAGGGAGGAATTTAGAGTTTGTTGTAAGGAAAGTGCAAGAAGCAATAACAGAAGTAGAAAGGTGGTCATATAAGTGGGGTTTTAGATTCTCTGTTGAAAAAA